TGTCAAAAATTGACACGTGATATGTCATTCTATTCCGATTGTCATTTTCTATCGAATAAAGTAAAAAAATAACAAGGGTGCCATTTAAAAATCAAAAGTTGTAGCCATTTCCGGTGGATCAGGAAGTGACCAAAAACAATTGAATAGGTCAATCAGTCCTAATTTATGTCATATACTAACATACCAAATCGCGTTATTTTATCTAAAAAAAATAAAAAAGGTAGAGTGGTGAGCCACTTTTGAGACGCACCCGGTATATATTACTATAAAACATACGCGAATATAGCGAATATTACATTGACCGTTAAAAATACTCTCACGTCATCAACAAAATTCGTTAATATATGTTAATAACAACATTGTTAATAACTTAATAGTCTCGTCTGCACGCTGAATCATTTATTTAACAATAACGTAATGGATTTCCATGATGTCATACAATAAAGACGTCACGGATTATTTTACAAACAAATGATTTTCACGGTATATGAACAGGTAGCTTAATTATCACCATTTGACATTTAAGATTCTTTAATAAAAAATGTACCAAATTAGAAGATTAGTAATTCTAAACAAACTGTATACTCTATTTTTGTGCATGAGGTGTTTTGTAGGTAACGCGTAAATAAACATACACACAAATATTTCAAATATTTACACACATCTTGTATCACCTTGATTATTCTAAACCACAGTTTTGATTGTGATGACATTATTTTTTTTAAAAAAGTTATTTTTAAAGTAGAATTTACAATACCAGCCGTTTAGAAATTACTATAAGTTTCTATGGGTTTATTTTTAATAATTTAAATAACGCAATAACGAAACCAAACCAAACCAAACCAATTTAATTAAAAAAATAAAGCCACCCTATACCGGGTGCGTCTCAAAATTGACTCACGCCTATAACTTTTTTATTTTTTCAGATAAAAAAAGACGAGATTTGGTATGTTAGTTTAGTATATGACATAAATTATAGGATTGATTAACGTATTCAATTGTTTTCCGTCGCTTCCTGTTTCACCGGAAATGAATACAACTTTGAACTTTTAAATGGCGCCCTCTGTATTTTTTACTTTATAGATAGAAAATGACACTCTGAATAGAATGACATATATCATATGTCAACTTTTGTCATTCTTGCTTAAAAAATCGTATTTTAAATTTCAATCTAGAGTGCCAGGGCTGTTTTAAAAACGCTAATTTTTAATCATGGAGCCATGGAAAATAGATTTGATCGTCTAATATTTTTCGTGTCTTGTACTGGCCGGTTAAAAATGCACAAATCGTGTTTTTAATCATATCTCAAATTGTCCTCATTAGCATATTTGGTAAAAGCAGTTTTTTACGAATAATTTGGTACCACATACGTAATACTGTCATTATGAACCGCTTTTTTTCTATCGAATAAAGTAAAAAAATAACGAGTGTGCTATTCAAAAGTTAAAAGTGACCGAAAGAAGTGACCGAAAAGAATTGAATACGTCAGCCAATCCTAATTTATGTCATATATATGTTGGAGGCAGATAATAAAAAGAGAGAAATAATTGACATATGGCGATTATAATTAAATATACCTACCTATATCCACAAAGTTAAAAGGGTGTTTAATCTTTTGTTGTTATATTATACCAAAAAAATATTAACCACCTCCGCAAAGAAGTTATATAAAGACTATTTATAACCACGAAGTTGCACGCATCTGGCAAGTTTAGTATGGACAAATCGCCATACGTCTAATTGTTTCGGACATAGGCCGAATTCGGCATCTGCCTCCAACATATACAAACATACCAAATCTCGTTTTTTATTTGAAAAAATAAAAAAGGTATAGGGGGGAGCTACTTTTATGGCGCACCCTGTATAATATATTATTATGATTATTTCAAACCAATAATAATAGTACCAAGAATACCAGTGTTGGTTGTTTAAAAAATCTCATGTTTTGTTCTTGGATGCGGCTTGTTATTAGTTCCTACTGAAATTATAGTAAATATCTAAAGCGGCCCATACATTATCAAGCAAATTGCGCAACAAAGCGATGCGCAACTGATTCAGCAGCCCATACATTATCAAACAAGTTGCGCAACAAAGAAATGCGCAACGTTGCGTTGCACAACTGCATCACCGATGCACTTGGTAAAATTTTGATCAAACTTTCTATTAAGACTTGTGCATTGTTCGAGAAACAATCATGTCCTCAATTGCCATTGCGTCAATTATTATCGTATATGCCTTAGATCATGTCGATGATAACAAAAACGAAAAAGAAAACAAAGAATTTGGATGAAAGAACTAAAATATTGCACAACAAAACGCAACACACACATATAGTGAACATACAAAGAATTCAAACATTCTTGAAACTCATCAAACAATTGCGCAACGCATCAAACACTACCGTACATTGGCAACTCGTTGCGCAACAGCCTGTGTTGCGCAATTTGTTTGATAATGTATGGGCCGCTTAAGAATCATTTAAAACGAGTTAAAACATATACAGGATGCGAAGAAGTTTGCAACAATTGATTTTTTGTTATTATTACAAAAAACGTTTTAGCTGAGTTGCCTTACATCTATGTACAAAGTTTCATCATCTTGGCGCCGTTTTTTTTTCAATCATATGGTATTTTTCTAATGTTCAAAGTTGAAAGTATTAACTAAAAAGGTATAGTCTGCCCAACAGTTATGTCTGTCATTTTAATTAACAGGCAAATTTTTTCATCCGTCATTTTCTAGATGTCGTCTGTCAAATGCTTCCTTTACTCCTTGGACAGACTATACAATAGATTTTTTTCTTAAACAACTTATTTTAATATATTTTACATAGCATAATATGTGTGTAACTATTTTTTTTAATCTATGAATAAAAATTATTGTTAGTAAAGGTAGAAAATTTGTGGCATCTCGCTTATCTAATAGCATAAATACATTAAACCGATATTCAAATTTTCTAAACTCATTAATATTATCATTTGCATATTAATGGAAACATCATATTAACATGATTACTCACATCTAATTATGTTGTTGCCTAGTCGGCCTTGAATTTTTAAACAAACCGTCGTCGTTGATAAAAAATACGTTTAACGCATCTTTCAACTAAGTAATAATTAAAAGATTTAGTACATCAATGTATACTTCTATAGGGTGTTAATTACAAAGCTAACGTCAATTTAAGTAGGTTAACAATTCTTCATGGAGCAGTAAAAATAGTTATCATTTAAATCTGTAGACAAAGCGCTTGTATAATAAAAGGTATTGGCCCACATACAGGCGTCTCTAGGAATTTATTGAATTTTATTATGGACAACGCCCAAAAATCCTAAACATGTCTATATAGGTTACATTTCATAGTGATTAGTGGTTTTCAGCCTGCATATACAGGGTCGCTGTTATGTATTGTAACGATCAATTATTAGGTAAAATATAGGAGGTATAACAAAAAGTTAAATATAAAAGTTATATGATTTTTAAATATCTATTAGCGAGTAATAAATTTAAGTATACAGCGGCCATAAAATCGTGGTACATAAAAGTTTCATTTTTTTAAATAGAACCCCGTGTATATTATAGCATATTTCAATTCTTCCTTCTTCAGTTCTAAGCAAAAATCGAAATACTCACAATGTACCTCAAACCAACCGTTTCCTTGTTATTGACTTTTGAACATATCACTTAAACAATTTTATAGTATACTAGCGTGTACCTTCGCGTCGAATTAATCATTTGTAATGGTGATGATAAAGCAAAGCAAGAATTTCCATTAACATACAAACTGGATAAAATTTTCTCACATTTATGTCAGCATGAGAAAAAACAATATGGCGATATTATTATATAACTTGGTAATATTTGAGGGGTAGTTTCATCTCGTTGGAATTTGACTTTCGAAAAATCCGTTTGCCAAAAATAAGCTTTTTACGTCAAGCAGTTTAAGCAGAAACGTGGTTAAGAAATTACCCAACTTTATGGAACACCCTGTATGATTTTATAAAAAAATTCAAAATATGTAAAAAAACCAAATAAATTATGCTTGTCCAAGTGTTTTCCCGAAAGATTAACCATTTTTTAAATAACAAACATTGTAATATTTGAGGGGCGTTTTCACCCCTTTGGTATTTGAGATTCGAGAAATCCCTCCTTATCGAACCTCTACACCCCACAGTCAATCCGTTTGCCAAAAATCAGCTTTAAACGTCAAGCAGTTTAAGCAGAATCGTGATTACTCATTGGTCATATTTTATGAAACACCCTGTATAAATTTATAAAAAATATTAAAATATGTAAAACAACAAAATAAAATATACGTGTTTAAGAGTTTTTCCGAAAAACTCACCGGTTTTTAAATAAAAAATATTTTAATATTTGAGGGATAGTTTCACCCCCTTAGAATTCGAGTTTCGAAAAATCCGTTCTTATCGAACCTCTACACCCTAAAGTCAATCTGTCAATCAAAAATCAGCTTTTTACGTCAAGCGCTTTAAGCAGGATCGTGATTAATCAATGACCAGATTTTTCGAAACACCCTGTATACATTTTTAAAAAATCTTAAAATATGTAAAAAAAACAAAATAAAATATACGCGTTTAAGCGTTTTTTTCGGAAACTTGACAGTTTTTTAAATAGAAAATATTTTAATATTTGAGGGGTGGTTTCACCCTCTTGGAACTGTAATTTCGAAAAATCCCTTCTTATCGAACCTCTACACCCTAGAATCAACCTGTATGCCAAAATTGAGCTTCTCTGGTTTGAGCAGGATCGTGATTAATCAGTATGTCAGTCATTTAAGGATTTTATATATTAGTATAGATTCTATTATGTTATAAATTTATTGATATAGATTCATATAAACGTTTTATTAAAAAAAGTATGTATTTTTAATGATATTCAGTCTAAATTAAGTTTTTTTTTATTGGAAGGTAGCTCTTTCAGAAAATAATCTATGTTAGAAAAAATCCCTCCAAAACTCCTGTATATTTTCACTGACCAATTAATTGACATTAGGCATTGATAGATGACAGGTCAAATCAATTTTTGTGATTCTTATCGCGTAAATTTTTCATAAAATTGGAGGTATTGGGGGACTCTAAATCATACGTATAATTCAATGAATTTTTATCAATATGGAGTTAATCGCTGCGCCAAATCCTCATTTCATTCCAGGGTAAGTATAAAACTGCTATTTTTTATGCAAATGAACAAAAATCGTTTTTGTCATAAATAAAATAAAGAAAATTGAGTTTCTTAGTCCCTTATTTAACCTTGGATTCGATGTTCATCCATGTTCACTGTAACAAACAAATTTTCGACTACCTATTACAAAAAAATATTTCTATTTTATAGATACACTGGATTTTGTCCACAATACAAATACAGAATTGGTGATACATATGCTACCACAACTCACAAAGTCTTACTGGACCCTACAGTTCATCATGCCGAAAAACTTGTTCTTTCCGATAGAACAGCAGATGACTATAAAGTAAGTACCGATTCCTTAGTTATTAAAACTGTCACATTATCAAGATATTAATTTTTTAACTGAAAATTCATTTATCATTTGAAGGGCCCAGGGGAAAACATGATAAGGACTCCCTGGACCCTTCATTTTTTTTTTCATGAAAAATTGTATTTAAAATTGATTATTTAATAGTATTTAAAAAACGTAACCCCCGCATAAAACGAGGGGCTCCTCCATTATAATTTCTGAATTTTTAGACTTTTAGACCAGCGGTGAGGGATATAGATATAGTAAATGAGAGACAAGGAGATACAATTTATAAACATCCTATGGTTCCGGGATATGAAGGTACAATATGTCTATTTTTTTAATTATTCTATTAATTATACATTTTTTTTCTAAAAAGGATTCGTTCCCAGAGAACATGCAAAATTTGGACAAAGATACACCGTACAAGCTACAGAAGCGTTATCCGATTTTGAAAAATTGCAATTCGATCGACAAACTGCTATGAATCAAATTGTAAAGTTCGGGTACATACAAGACAATAAATGGGATCCTAAGACTTTAGAAGATAAAGAGGTAAATTAGTAACTTACTTTATTGCAAAGTTTCATTAGCTATTATTTCAGCTGACACAAAGTGAGTTTAAACTTCCTCTGATAGAAGTGAGGCCAGAATGCGGAGGCCTACTAAGGAATATACCAATGACAGAACCACCAATCACACCACCGAATCATTCGCAAAGTCCTTACTTTTCGGATAATATGGACCCAGAAAAATATTTAAAATCAGGTAAAATTAACACACTTTGTACCTCAACCGTATGTGTCGCCCTTTGTTGAGTTATAATCCCATACAGCACGTCCAAATGAAATTACGTTTCTACAAGGGAGACACATGAGAAACCAAATATGTTAAAGTGAACCTAAGTGTTCATCTAGTTCTAACATATACATATGAGATACACGCAGGTTTATATTGATAGAATTGTGTGATACAGTGTTTACTAGTTGTATACCGTATGCACTCAAGATTCTAAAAAGTTTTTTGTAACGTAACAAATAATTATTAAAATGATGAAATCTGACGTCGGTATATGAGACATACAATGTATATGTCATATGTATGTGTGAACTTCGTATCATAGTTGTGCCTATAGTACACACCTTGTAAAAATGTGACGTATACACATAATATAAATTTCTATATAGACACTTTGTAATAGTGTACTGTTGTGTCTACATTCTAGCATGAAATGAAGGTGTGCGCACGCGCGGACAGCCTTAGCGTAGATACACCGACTAAGTGTATCTTATGTGTTCTCTCTCCTTTCTCCTTTCTAGGAGTGGTATGTTAGCAGCCATTATTGTTTTATCATTCGGAAGCTCTATATAAATGTTCTGTTTGTGTGTAGTTTAAAACAGATTTTAAGGTAAGCACAAGTTTTTAATTACATTCTTACACCTTTCTAAGCGTATTATTAATATTATAGCAGCGACTCTTCCCTTACTCGTTACCCAATTTACCAAATTTTGACTCCATTGAATGAAAACTCCAAATATTCTCGTATAATGATAAAGAGGTTAGCTCTGCAATATATTTTTTTTTAATTTGGAAATAATAAAAATCTAAATGGACCAGAGAAAGAAAGATTTAAACACTTCAAAGAACTTCTTACACTGATATTTGGTAAGTTATTGATGGGTGAATATACAGATATGTTCAATATTCAATAATCAGTTTCATATAAAATTTAAGGGTGGGATTGTTAATCTGGAAATAAAATACAACAAAGTCCAACAGAGTGCTTGTTGAATGAGTATGCTAACAAACCAACTGCTTGGAGGGAAAAGAGGAGAAAAAAATGACTAAACGAGGTCCACCATATCGTGGCGATATACCAGTGTTTACCATTTTAGTATGTTGTTATACTAGTTACTTATATTTTTAATACATTTTGATACAAATTCTGTTCTTTTGCAGTGTTTTCTTACTTCTGGTTTCTGCAGTGTAAATAATTATTATTGTTGTGTTATTTGCGCTATTGCGTTTCATGATATAAAGAAATATAAGAATTTTATCTTTTACCACTAAATCCATTTTATGGAAGAAAAACGATCGAGATTCTTTTGAAAAATACAAAGTTTTACCTTCCTAATTTTCGTTCTAAAAAGATATAATTGGTATCATTGAATAAATATTTCTTAAAAAGAACGAAAAGTTAGGCATCAAAACTTGTATTATTTCCTAAATTCGTTCATAAGAAGTAGTTTTATCTAGCACAAGATGTATATACGAAGCAAAATACATACGTATACACGCGGTAGTCACAACTGCAATGTGTAAACAGAGTTTTAACGTAATACACAAGCACTGTGTATCCTACGGTACACTGTGTATCCCTTACTTTGTGTATACGTAAATGCTATACTGTGGTTACATTGTGAGGCGGACGTTTAACCTTATGTATATGTGTTGAACTACAATGTGTAAACGTAGCATATTTACATCGGGGGAATTGTGTCACCCTGTGTCTACATCTAATAATGTAAACACATCGTAAATGTGATTTGATGTGCTGTATAGGATGTGTGGTCGTTTGTTGAGTTATAACTTATCATACAGTCTAAGGGCTTTGACAAAAGACAGTATCAGAGACAATTTTACAGAGGTAGAATGTAGAATGAGTAAGAGGGGGGGGTAATCATTGCGACCTCAAAGATCTATTGTGCCTACCTTCCTTGAGTCACTGCACAGTCCTTAACCTATCATACCCCTGTTGTAGAGGGGACAGGTCAGGTGGAGACTGGAGGATCTGTCTCCATTTTCTCCACCTCTTTAACTTGGTCTCTCCTTAGACCTGATACCGGTGTTGTCCCGTATCTATAATAGAGGATACGTCCCACTTTCTAGAGGAAGTGATTGCCTCCAATAGATTGCCTCCTTGGATTTGAGGTCAGTTCCTATTGTGAGGACCTAACCGTGACCCTCCTCCCTCGAGTTGATGACTAGCCGTTAAAGGATCCCCATTTCAAGTTAAAGATGGACTTTTCCAGGTTGTTGATTTGCGCTTTTAGTTGGTTTCCACTTAAGTAACACACACTTTAGAAATGCATTAAATTATATGATATATATTATCGGGACAACGTTGTGTCACGCGACCAAACATCGGGGCGCAACGTCGGCACAACCTCGTGCCAACCCTAGTCTGCACTAGTTTGGAGAATAATTTTTGGGTCGAAACGACGTTGGATACCTACGTTGGCTAGCAGCCTAATTTAGTACAAACTGCAACGTTGTTTAAAATCCTAATTCACAGAAATACCTACAAAACTATAATAATATGATAATTATAGTAAAAATATTATTTTTATGATTCAGTTAGAGACATATGACAGATGGCAGTAAAGGAAAACAAAACAAAAGTATTAAAGTGTGGAGGATGTTTGAAGATCATAATTATTGAAACACTTTAACCAACTCTGTAACTCGTTACCCAAGGCAAAAAATTTAAACGCAAACAACTTTATTGATAAATGTATTGTTTCTGCTTTGAAAAATACTAATGGGGCTTAAAATTAAAGAAGTTTTAAAAAATTTCTTGATTTTTTTTTTAGTAAAATGAGAATAATTTATTCGCAGTCGAAAAAAAATTGTTTCCGCGGGTTGTTTAGGGTCAAATATTTCAAGTTAATGTATTCAAAATGCAGGAATTGCTATTTTAGGAACGAAACATTTTCTTATTCAACAACATGGCGGCTTTCACTTTGTTGTTTTGGAGATTAAGATGGAGTAGTTCGAGTAGTCGCATACTGGACTAATAAAGTCGCAGTTCAGCCTTAACAGGTAGTATACTAGTCGCAAGATTGCCTAATTTAGTCATCCTAGAGTCTAGCTTGTGCCGCCCTCTATATTCTAAATAAACGAGGGAGTGGATAAAGTATAGGTAATATGTCGATGTATAATATTTAAATTTAGTTTTATATGTGCCTTTCTTACGTCTCATTTTAATTAAGTTTTTTTATAAAAACAAAAACAGCACTGAACTTAATTAAAAAACTTAACAACACAGTCTGACTGAACAGAACAATGAAGTGAAAATTTAAGATATATTTAAGGTAGTGGCTCGACGTCCTACCAACGTAAGAATAAGGAAATCTAAACAATTTGTCGAATTAGTAAAACAGACGACGCCGACGTTTGCGCAACGTTGGAATCGGTCCTGAAAGTGACGTCGGAAAACTCTTTATTGCCCAACATTGTAACTACGTTATCCGAATCACCTAAAGATCACTTAAGCAAAAAAGGTTACAAGACAACGTTTATTCGACGTCGCAGCTTTTACTTTGTTGTAGTACTAGTTCAACGTCGGCACAACGTTACAACAACGTTTACATTTATTTTAATACCCAAGGTACGGAGCTAACTATTTTTTGTAACTAATCCAACGTTGTGTAACTAATCCAACATATGGTCGCAAGTCGTGAAAATGCTACTTGGGAGGTCTTAAAGAGAATAAACATTGTCTACAAGAAGCACTGCAAACTTACCCATTCCATATAGGATAACTGTAAGATAATTATTATACAATATTGGCAAGAAACTATGAGAAAATCGTTAAGGCGATCTTGTAAGTCGGGGAGAGAAAAATGCGAAGTGTTTATTACATAACCACTTATTTCATGCACTTCTGAAAATACGTGCTCTTCTTTCTTTATATCCAGTACAACTTATTGTACTGAGCGTTTTGCCTCGAAAAACAGGAAAATCCGCACCCAAAGCGAGACTTTACCGATCCAGTATATTTAAATTATCTACATGATTTCTGATATGTCTATTCTATTCAATCTCTGAGACTCTGGGTTGTCTAGTTTGAGGAATGAATCGATTCCGGTAAAATTCAACAATTTTGCTTTAATTGGACGCTTAGTTATTTTATTTACATAAAGTTTTCCTAATGTTATTTTCAAAAACATATGACAGAGACTTATGAACTATGACAGCTGACAAAAACTCAACTTTTAACGATTATTTATTTAATATTTTGTAAAGAGAATCACAAGCAAAATGTCGTATGAACGTCTACATAACTCTTTTATGCAGCAACGAAGGTATACTACTGGATCTGGAAAAAGTAAGGCAACATTTGAATAAGAGCAACATAAATACACCATCAACTTGAAGATAACAAAAATTTTACCCATGTTTACTGAACATATATTTACAGTTTTCTGGTATTAAATTCCATTTTAAATTAGGATTTACTGGTCACTTGCCCTTCGGATATGCGGCATTCGGAAAAACCAACGAAGCCATGACGAACAGCGCCCTTTGTGACTTTACCTCGAACTACCGCAAAAGATTGAGCAACGAATGGGCTCCAGTAGAAATTGATCGTCCAGACCCTCCAGTGTTAGTTCAACCATCTGAAATCTATCACAGGCATATTGGACAACTTCCAAACTATGGTGGACATATTCCTGGTGCAATATTTAGGTATACATACTTTATTCCCACACTATCACAGATTATAGTATATATTATTCAACGAGCATATAATGGTGGCTGTTATTCACGCGGATGAAGTTTATGTTTATCATATATCATCCAAGTGAACAACACCACTATACTTTATCCAGGACTATCAAAAAAACTTAGATAATATTAATATAAGTTTTTATTTTTCATGTCAAAAAAATATTGAACGAGTACTTATAATGAGTAAGTAACATGGAAACAAAACATTGAAATTTTCTTTAATTAGGTAGCTATAACCCTTGTTTATATATTCTTAAAGTTGCCCAACCGACTAGACAAAATGTGCTGCCAACTGGAGGACAAATCGTGAACCTTTCGGGGCGGAGTCAAAAATATCGATTATTTTCGTTATTTTCCTCAGAGTAATGTAATAATATAGCCAGGGTTTCTGAGAACTTTAATAGTGATCAGCTGATTAAGAAATTTAAACGAAACTTTTATTTTATTGTAAATTGTGGATTATTTTTGCCTGTTATTTTAAGAGTTCTAAACCGTATTAACAAAGAAATCATTATTTCGATATGTTGGTACATTATTTATAATTTATGATAATGCTAATTGCTGTTAATTAATATTTAAAAAAAAGTTACATACCTATTTTAATTTGATTTAATGCAGGTTTATAAAAGAATCATTTCATTCTTAGATTATTTTATTCTAAATTGAGTGCTTTAAGAATTTTATGATATTTTTTGAAAACATGAAACTTTTATTATTTTTGATGCCAACTAATTGGCATGGTATTATTGGTATGGAAATTAGCCAAGAAAGAAAGGAATTGGCTATAACTTGTAATTTTTCGAAAAAAACATATTATACCTATATCGCTGAAAAGCTTAAAAAATGGCGGTTTTTATGAAGTCATGGCCAACTATGGTTTCCATTTAAAAAAAAACATAATGTTTGTTTCATATGTCAAAAATGACAGGTTTTAGAAAAAAAAACACAAACTCATTAGGTATGTGATTATCTACAACTTTTATCTGAAAACTTTTTGTCTAAAATACCGTATGATCGAATAAAAACGGCTTCAGCGATGGCTATGAAATGACGATCGATGATATTTCCCATATAATTTTACATAAATATAAAATGACAGCGATCTTCATTTCATAGCCATCGTTGACGTCGTTTTTATTCGATCATACGGTAGATTATAATGGAATTAGAGACAAAGTTTTAAAATAGCCAAAATTTGTTTTTTTCGAAATATCTAGTAAGCCTTGAATCTCTCCGAAAAATCCGAAAGGCGCATATTTATGACCCCACAAAACTGCAATTTTTTCCCCATTTAACCGACTCTCTATCTCCAGTAGTTTCCGAGATACCCATAGAGAACATCGTAGGAAACTCACCCTGTATAGTATTTAGAAACTAACTATTATTATTATTTGACTAGATTAATTTGATTAATAAAACTCGATTAATTTAATTTAAAATAAATTTGATCAGATTTTTTTTTCGTATATTCTACTACGAGAAAACCAAAATTATATGATAACGCACTTTTCAACGAAGGAAGATATAGTGTATCTATCACAATACTTAATAGAATTACTACAATTAGAAGAAAAACAAAAAGAAAAAATACCCAAATACCTTCACCTACTACTCATCTACAAAATAAACTAATATAATCTCTTATAAAAACACTACACAACTACTTCTTCACTACTTCAACCACTTCTACACTGAAAAAATTATCAAACTTACTAATTAATCAAACAAAAAGAAAAAATAACCAAATTATCCCTTCACCTACTACTTAACTGCAAAATAATAAACTATAAAAACACTGCTAAATTATTTCTGGTATTCTACACTAAACATTATAATTAAACTTAATAAAATTAATCTAATTTTACACTACAACCACTACAACTACAAAGAAATAAGAACATTTTTTAAAACTAGAAGAAACAGAACCTCGATACGTGCAACCAGTATAATAGATCAAGCGGACAAAGAATATAAAATACTCTAAAAATGTGCATTCAGAAAGAAAAAATATCTCGAAAATTATCTAAACAAACATTTTTTTTTCTTATCAGTGAAAAGCATCGGCCTCGTCAGCCTTGCGAAATTTGTCGGGTATTTACAATGGTCGAATTATATAATTACCAGTTTTTATAGCATATCTAATAGACAAAAAGTATCTGGTCGATTAGTAACCAATTGGCACAGTCCGAAAATTATCGATTTTTATTTTCTCTGTTTTTATTGGTCGCTTCAAAATTCAGAGTAACAAAAAATATTTTTCTGTAGTAAAAGATTGTGAAATACGCCCCGCCATCTGGTGCTTTACATCCATAAACGTCTTAGGTTGAGCTACTTTAAAAATTCATATACAAGGCTATAACTAATTAAAACAAAACCGAATCATTACATACAAGGTGTCCCACTTAAGATGGATACAAGCCAATATCTTGGTTGTTTGTTGAGCGATTTTTTTTCATTTTGGTAGGAGGCTGTATGGCTATAAGACGTACATTTGCCCAGGGTAAGAAATGCGACACCTCATAGACGTACGTTTTAATGGGGTTTGATATTTTTCGAGTCAAGAGTAAGCTACCCTTAGGACAGTTATTATTTCAAATCTGATAAATTCTATTGAATCCTCCTTACCTAAGATACTTAAGTTCTAATTTTTATAAATATTGATACAGGGTGTGTCATTAAAATAAGACATTTCTATTTTTATTATTATTTTTTTAAGTACTTACGACGCCACTGGATAAACAACTGGGTTATTATCAATAACCAATTAAATCCAATTATCAATTAATAATCGAATTAAGTTTCGTCAAAGATGGTCGAAGATGTTGACTTTTAGTTCGTTATAGTTTTATAAATCTTTGTTTAGAGCATAAGTTAATAGTAAACAATCACTATTAACTAATAAACTAAATAACTATTTAGATTTTTAAAAATATTCCTCAATAAACTCATTTTATTCATTTGTATTAGCAAACCTAAAAAACAATTTTTTAAAGTAAACAAAATAAATTGAAAATATTTAGTTTTTTTGTATCGTATCTTAATTATCATGGAAGCTATCTGAAAACTTATATCGATTATTAATTCATAATTGGTTATAATTGTTATTGCTAATAAACCAGTTGTTCATCCAGTGGCGTCGTAAGTAGTTAAAAAAATAATAAAAATAAAAATGTCTTATTTTAATAACACACACTGTATCAATATTTATACTGTCCTAAGGGTAGTTTACTCTTGACCCGAAAAATATCAAACCCCATTAAAACGTACGTCTATGAGGTATTGCATTTCTTACCCTGGGCAAAATGTACGTCTTACAGCCATACAGCCTCCTGCCAAAAATTAAAAAGGTCGCTCAACAAACAATCAAGATATTGGCTTGTATCCATCTTAAGTGGGACACCCTGTAAATGTTTTCTTATATTATAGATACGGAAAAACATACGGAAACGATTCAAGAGACGCAAAGAGATGGCTTAGAGGAGATTTTGGAAATTAGTTCATCACATTCATGGCATTTTGAGATAAAATTCAAAGAAAAGTGTGTCTGTGTAATATAAAAAGCGCCCTAAAACGTAAAAATATAATATATTTCAAATATCAATAAGGTAACATTTTCTATGTACACATTAAAAGATTTTTTATAATTTGGCGCCAGACTTCCAATTGCGTAAAAGATCGGCAGCGGCTTGAAGGTTTTTATCTTGCTAAAAAAATATACAAAAACTCATCTAAATGTTCTTTATTCACTGTGACTGTTCTCACCTTAATGAAGCAATATCTCACAAAATTTTCTCCCAAAGGTTTATGTTCTTCACTGTAAAAAGCGGTTGGTGGAATTCCTTGTAAACCAACATTTTTCGTCATCCACTTTGTGAATCTGTAATCCTTGTATTTGTCTTTTTCCGAATTTAGATTAACCTTTGATTCTAAAAAGAAAATATTTTTATATTATCAAATAAGTTTATTATCGCTTAAAGATAAAAGAAACAAGTTTAGAATGGAAAGTGCCCATAAGGACAATGTAAATACTATTTTTTTATTAATTTCGGAGTGGTTCGGCCTTTTTCGGAATTATGTAGCCAAATATTGTTTGTTCAAATTTATTATTATTTTCTTTTAATTTTTTAAATAAAATAGAGTGATGTGTTGCATATAAGAAACTTTATTTTATAGAAGGAAATATATGAAATACCTATGAAACATTATAAACTGACGTTATGCCACGATCCACGAAATATTTTGCTGTTCACAGATCACACAGCTTGTTAAGTTTTTAATGCCACTTTTTCACAATTATCACCGTGTTTGACTAAATAAAATTTAAGTTAAAATCTCAAGATAGCAATAATTACTTGAAAACGGACGCTTTAAACACCTTTTGGTATTTTTTAATGAGGGCGGTTTAAATTTTGAAAGATTTTATAATTTTTGAAGATTCTGACTTTGACAAGAGAAAATTATATCTGTTCTTGTTTGCGATTGTTCTTAGCAACCGCTATAGCAGCGCCCTACAACGTATGCGCTCCAAAACAATTATAAGTTTTGGCGGCAAGCCGAGTATTCCAATCCAAAGTTTCCTTTATATATGTTATTGCTATCTATGGACTGCCCAACGGTTTTAATTTAACTTGACTTTACTATCAAGATATTAAAGTAAACACCTAACGAAGGTTTAATTAAAATGTTATTTCTATTCTAGTATTTTTTAGTAGTGGGAACTATCGAATGAATACTATCGAAACATTCGATAGTTGCAATTCATTTGAATAATTCGATAGCTAGTAAAAAAACATTCGTTGAAAACGATTCGAATAAAAATTATCGAATAGATGCGTCATCTGCCTTGAAATATTGTATTCTAGTAATTCGGCAGCAAAAACCATTCATTTATAAAATTCATTCATTTATGAAATTCATTTATTCGTCAGGATCGATTATAATAAAAAATTAACGGTTAGCGGTCGGTGGCAATGCTATGAAAGAAGCCGGCATCTTTGATTTTTTGCGGAGTCATATAAAGATAAGGCCACATTATTTTTTTTATTGAGGTGCTAGTATTTACACAGAAAATACATTATGAAGGGCGCTGTTGCCATATATTGGTATTAGTTGATATTAGCAAAGAATATTACTGCTTGGCTTTAGTTAGTTAGGGATAGTATGTCTATATATTTTGCATTTTTTTTATTAATATTATGTTGTTACACTGTAATAATACTTGTTATTTTGGATGTAGGAAAATTATTTTTAATGTTTTTAAGCAAAGACTGGTTTAATAAAAAATAATAATAACAGTAATGATTTGTTATACCTATTAACAACAAAATTTAAAATAATTTAATATAAACATTTTTTTACGTAGTAGCAAAATATAAACAACAAATTAGATGTCAAAATTATTTATATTAGATCCTATTTAAAAATAATATAGTCTCTAAATTTTTTGGCAACGTTGGTTTATTAAATAATAATAATTACAAAACTAATTTGTTATATTAACAACAAATTTTAAAATCATGAAATATAAACATTTATTAATTTTCTAAGCATGTAGTGTAATAGAAGAAAAATATAAATAAAAAATTAGAAATTAAAATTATTTATATTAGGTAGTTTATATTACTATTTAAAAATAATATTTACTTTTACTGGCATTTACTTTAAAAAATAAATGAAATATTTCTTCGCAAAAATCTACATGTAAGAGAATTAGCATAAACAAAATACAAATATCGTTAACTTTTTTTTTAAATTGGCACGTGTAAAACTTTCAATTTAATTTTCACACCCCATAGTTTGAGTTCGATAACCACACATTTACTTAACCACATTACTTAAATATGATTATTAAGTTCAACTAATTCATATTATTAAAACATCTAAAATACAAATATGTATCTATTTTTAAAATTAATTCTAAGTTCATCTCATCTCTCTTAAAAATTGCTACTTCTCAAAATTTCCCATTAAAAAATAGACCATATATACCATATAAAATTAAATAATTGAAAGATCGGGCTACGGAAAATCACACAAATTTTGGGAAAAATTTTGACACCTGCACACGCACACAATCGTCAATTAAAAAACCTACTATTTTAGTATTTTAAATATTTTAATAAACGCAAAAATAGCACAGTATTTATAAGGTGAAGTTATAAAAATTTGGAAGAACTAATAATGCACTGACGTACACAAAAATCAAACGAATACTAAATTTTATTTATCAAAAGGATTCGATACTTCTGGCTCAACGATAACCATTTAGTTGCACGGCGAGGTTGTCACATGCTTTAGTATACAAATAAATGAATGATTTTATTCGAATAAAACCATTCGATAGTTGAAATCATTCATTCAGTAACTATTCGATAGTCTAATTCATTCGATAGTTCCCATCGCTAGTATTTTTATTTGTTTTTGTGACCCCAATTTAAACAGATTGATACAGATGTTTATTTGATTATAGACCAGTAAAAGACTATGAAGTTTTTATTACAGTTGCCAATATAAAAAACTTTGAGAATATAGAAAAAAATATAGAAATTCTTTTATTTCTATGCCTACTCAGAGGTCATTTTCATTTCATCATTCTAAGGGCTGGCAAAGGTTAGTTTTGGGCAAGAATACTATAGAGATAAGGATAGTTCGATTCCTATCTTCCTGTACTGTAAGTTTTTTTACGTTTTCTAGGGACCGAGTTGAAGTTTGCGCTAAAGATTTTAGACAGTGACAGTTATTTTTGCGTTTAACGGACGAGCGCACAGTGCGGCGGAAGATAAATCTAGCGGGACAAAACCGTTTGGTTAGAAATAAGCCAATGTGTACAGATAAGAATAAATAGTAGACATTCCAATTGATATAAAATTGCATGAATTATTTTTTGGTCGTATATATTCTTTGTATTTCGATACATTTTTATCAACCAACCATATAATATCACTCCTGAGATTTTGTCCCGCTAGAATAACCATCCGCCGCACTGTGGAGCGCTGGTCCCTGCGTGACGTCAGCATCCACGGTGACTACGATAACGGCGATTTGACGCGATCGAACAGTCCTAATATTTACAGTCCTTGAGTTTTGGGTCCAGATTTCCGTATGTAGAATTTTTTAGAATTTAGAATGAGTGGGAGGGGGGTTAATCACTTCGACCTTACAGATCCATTGTGTCCCCCTTTCTTGAATCATAACTCATCATACAGTCCCAGGGCTTTGACAAAAGCCAGTATCTGGGACGGTTTTATAGAGGGTAGTTCTCCATCTCCAATATCAGTCGTACCAAAATTCATGGCACGAATGGTTGTCGTCTCGGCGCACTCAGTGATGAGGTGTACTGGTGTTTCCCCATCTTTCCCACAGAATCTGCATTCGCCGTTTCTTCTTAGTTTCAATCTACTGAGGTGTCCATTGAGGAGACAGTGTCCTGTTAAAAACCCCGTGACAATCCGAAGATTGTTCTTACTCAGAAAGATCTGTGATTTTTCTTGATCATAAGCCCTCAGAAACTTCTTCGAGTGTCTTCGAGTGTTCAGATTTCCATTCCAGGTTGCGGATGGAATCTTCAAGTTCTTGAGTTCCGCCTTGAGTTGGTTACCACTGGAAAGCAGAACGGTTCTGGTCCAGTTAGTGGAGTGTTCGCTCCTTTCCTAGCTAGATTATTTGCTTTTTCATTGCCTTCTATCCCTTGGTGAGCAGGCACCCAGTGTAGGAGGACTTTGTTTTCTTTGCCTAATTTATTCAGCTTCTCTATGCATTCTTTGACCAATTTCAAATCGATTGATACTGAGTTGATCGCCTTTAACGCTGCTTGACTATCAGATAAGATGGCTATTTCTTGTTTCCGATAGTTCCTATCTAAGATAAGTTGTACGCATCTCTCGATAGCGTAGATTTCTGCCTGTAGGATACTAGGGTAAGTGCCCATTGGTTCGGAGTAATTAGCTCTCGGCGCAAACACTCCGATCCCTGTTCCCGTATTGGTTTTGGAAGCATCAGTATACCAAGTTATGGTATGGTCTTTTAACTGCTGGGCAAGCGTTTCGCTCTTCCAATCCTTCTTATTGCTCAATACTACATTGACATGTTTGTCAAAGTTGTACGTTCTTGGCATATCGTCCACTGGGAGTTGCATGAGTTGTATTTCCTTTTTGAGGGTGTTCCAAGCCCCTGATCTGACAATTCTCCCAGTACTAATTCCGTTAGTGACCATTCTAATCATTGTCGCATTGGCATATCTACCAATGACAATGTGCAGTGGTGTTAGATCTAGAATGACCTCCATTGCTGCTGTTGGACAGGTTCTCATGGCTCCTGTGATGCAAACACATGCTAGTCTCTGGACTTTGCATAGGTTTAGCCTTGCCGTCCGTTGCTCTAGTTTTGTGTACCAGGCAACTGCTCCATAAGTAATCATGGGTCTTACTATCATGGTATACATTGCCAAACGTATGAAATAAACCGTGAATCTGTGCATATTGCTAAAAGACGTGGAGGGGAATACAGCAGGTTCGTGATTCGTCGCGGTCGAACGGTTGCAGCTACAAAAAAGCATACCAAATATCTACAAAAATAATAGAATTAAAAATAAAAAGTTTGGGG